TTTATAGGAGCCTACTACTCATTAAATAACTGTATTTTAGTGGTTTCTACTGTGGACATTTGGTTGTTTCTAGTCCTGTTACAAATGGTGCAGCTATGAAGTCTTGTGTGTATATCTTCTCATAAGGGTTTTATGCTTGCGATAGATTCCTAGAGGTGGAATTCCTGGGTAAGAAGGTAAATATATAGACAGTTTTGCTGACTTTTGACAGGTTCCCCTCTTTCAGGGGAGATACTACCTTGTATTCTGATCAGCAGTGAATGAGAGGATCTGTTTTCTCCTAGCATATCAACAGATTGTAATCAGACTTCATGAAATATTTTAAGTGAGTCTGTTTAGAGTCTTCACTTTGACAGGTTTGATATGATTTGGAAGGTGAGATTCCAATCCATATCGAGCACGAGAGGTGTGTCGGGCATTGGCAGTTGTCTGAAAAAGGCAGGTCTTAACAAAGGAGAGAGAGTTACATTATACAGTCACTTGTGGTTTGTCATCTAGAGGACTAAGCAGCTGGATGGAGGCATTATTAGAACGCTTGGAGATAGCTCCTACACTTCTGAGAGCATGAAATTGTTCCAAGAATTTTGAGCACCTGCAGATTATGGGGTGAGAGAATTCCATTTTGGATGTTTCCAGTTTGAGATGCTTCTGGGACACTTGGGTTAGAGGCATAGTCCGAAATCTGAATCTGAAAAGTGTGGGCAAGAGTGGGGCTGTGGAGTCATCACTGTGTAAGCCGTGTTGAGATGTGTGCAGATGAAGATGCCCAGGAACAGAGTTATACTAGGCCGTATTTGGATGCTTCACAGGTTCTTCTTGGCTTTGTGAAGAGCAGACTTATAAGTAAGTCCCTTCTGTGTTTGTGTTTTTAATTTAGCAATTGATGTAATACTTTCTTTGCTAGAATTTTTAAAATGTATCCTTTATTTCATGACTTTTTTAATAGACTTAACTACATTGCAAATGTGCATATAGAGTATATATAATTCACTATGTAATTCTCTTCAGAATTTGTACAAATTTAGTTTTGATGCAGACATAGCTTAAATTCCTTTGCTCTGGTGTATGGGATGACTTATTCTGCCCTTTCTCCATATAAACATAATTTTATATACGTTTGTTTGTAGGCGTCTCACTTGTTGTCCAGGCTGGAGTGCAGTGGCGTGCTCATGGCCACGGCAGGCTCAACTTGCTGGCCTTAGGCGATCCTTCTGCCTTCTGCCTCAGACTTCCAAGTAGCTGGTGTGTGCCACCAAGCCTGGCTTTTTTTTTTTTTTTTTTGCTTTATTGTAGAGACAAGGTCTTGCCAAGTTGTCTAGGCTGGTCTCAAACCCCTGGACTACTCAGGCCATCCTCTCGCCTCTGCCTCCCAAAGCGCTGGGATTATAGGCATGAGCCACCGTGTCCTGCTATTTTATATACAGTTTTAAAACTTTGTTTGGGTTCTCTACTTTGTTCAAAATATTTCCATTCTGGGAATCTATCCGCAAATGGAGAATTTTTTTTGCCATTGAAATACGCTTTTTGGCCATTGACTTGCTAAGTTGCGGTCTGACATGTGTTCTTCGAGCTGTGGCCAGGCCATGTTTTTCTAAACTTTGTCCCCGTCCCCTACCTTGGGGAGGTGAATTTCCTCTCTTTCTCTCTGTTCACCATTGCTTTGTTGAACTCTGGTGTCTCCACACGGCTCTCTGAGCTATGGCTCCACATTTTCTTGGCTTTGGCCCCCTCCCCTACCTTGGGAAGGTGAATTAATCTCTCTCTCTCTCTCTCTCTCTCTCTCTCTCTCTCTCTCTCTCTCTCACACACACACACACACACACACACACACACACACACACACATTTATTTTCTAAGTAAACTTTGCTTGAAAGGTTAAAAAAGGTAAGAAAGAAATATGCTTTTTACTCTATTATTTAAAAACGATGTCATGATAAAATGTAATTTTCACATTTCAGCTAAGAAAAGGAATCTCATCTAAAATAGAATAGTTTTCTGTCTCACATGACCTTAGGAATATTGAAACAGGAAACAAATTTACAACTTTAGAATTAGAAAGCCCTGAAAGATTTTTCTTCATTTATAGATTGAGAAAAATGTTGTTTATTTTTCTGACCAAACCATTGTGAAGCAACATGCGTATATAAACACCAGATGTTTGGCTAGAGACTTCTAAATTAAGATTTGACCATTGAAAAGTGGGATTGAAATAGAGAAATAGAAGGAGAAGCCAGCATGGTGGCTTACGCCTGTAGTCCCAGCACACTTGGAGAGGCCAAGCTGCAGGGATCGCTTGATCCCAGGAGTTTGAAACCCATCTGGGTTGGACAACATAGTGAGACCATATACAAAAAATAAAAAAAAAATTAGCTGGATGTGGTGACTACAGCTGTAGACCCAGTTACTTGAGAGGCTGAGAAGTTTGAGGCTGCAGTGAGCTATGATCATACCACTGCGCTCCAGCCTGGGTGACAGTGCAAGACAGACCCTGTCTAAAAAAAAAAAAAAAGAGTAGAGCCACAGACATGACTTTGTACTTGTCAGGTTCCTTCTTTGGGATTATTTCTATGTAATAACAAAATATTAACAACTGGTGTTTGCTTACCCCATCATGTATTCTTTTAATAATTTTTAAAGTCTTCTCATTTTGGTTCTCAGAACCACCATAAGAAATACAGTCTCCATTAGGTACATCTTACAGATGAGGAATAGTCCTAAAGGTTTAGTAACTTTCCCAGGTTACACAGTGACTAGAAGCTAAATTGAGGGGGTGGTGGGAGGTGGGGTAAAGAAGCTAAGTTGAGAATCTAAACCCAGGCAGGCTGAAAATAGAACATCGTTTAAGTGAGGACACAGAGGTAATACAGAGATTCAAAACCTTGTCACATGAGTTGAAGGAAATTCATTAAAAATATTGTCAAATAGAAAAAAAGAATGAGGGTGGTGGGGACACTTAGGCTGTTAAGCATTGGTCTGTTGTGGTGAGACTGTATAGATTTCAAGAACCAAGGCATAGAATGAGGTTACAGGAGTTTGTCTGTGATTCAGTATCAAGTATCTTCTCTTTCCTATGTCAAAAATATGTGAAGACAAAATAGCTTTTCTTAGGATTAGAACTGTCCCCCACCCCCATCACATGCTGTCTGAGCAAAGATTGCTTGTTTGTAAGACTTGTTGTAGAAGGGAATTATGGCACGGAGGGTTAATGGACCAGGTAGTCTCTGAGGCCCTTTGCCAATCCTGAATTTTTTTTCCCAATTAACTAAAACTTAGAGGCTTGATTAAATTGTGTGATTAACTAAGGTCCCACATAGGATTAATATCTATTTTGTCTAAATGAGTTAGTGTACTGTGAGAGTCCGGGCTTATATGATCTTTGTTTGATTTGGAAGAACCAAGACTAGCTGCTAGAGCTGCTGCTGATTTCAGACCCACTTTAAGTTCGAGCAGGCCGCTTTTGGTTGGTTACGGGTCAAAGGTTTCCTCCCTTGGTTTCTACTTTGTTAATGCTGTCTCGCTAGGGTAGGATACTTCGGGTGTGATTCTGAAGCACAGTGTGTTATTGAACTTGAGAATGCATGAGAATCACTGAGGATTTGTTATATAACTCTGGGCCTCATTTCCAGAGTTTCTGACTCAGGCGCTGAAGTGGAGCCCAAGAATTTGCTTCCCTCTCCTCGAGGCAGGGTCTTACTGTCTTACCCAGACCAATAGCACAGTCATAGCTCACTGCAGCCTTGAACTCCTGGGCTCAAATAATCCTGCTGCAGCCTCCCTCATAACTGAGACCAGTCATGTACCACCATGCCCGGCTATGTTTACTTTTTTTTTTGTAGACACAGGGTCTCACTGTCTTGCCCAGGCTGGTCTCAAACTGCTGGGATTGCAGGCGTGAGCTACCATGCCTCGCCAGCAGTTTGCATTTCTCACGTATCCCCAGATGACGTTGATGCTGCTGGCCTGGGGACCACGCTTTGAGAACCGGTGCTGTAGTAATTGGCCTGCCTCGGAAGGTTGAGACTTTTAATAGCAGGAGCCAGCTGTTACTAGTTTCTTTGGTCCTCTACTACTTAGCGGTACATAGGAGTGGCAGGCCTTAATTTTATAGAAGCCAGTAAGTATGAGCTGTTAAACTGCTTCCTTTGGCCTGAGGATACCAAGATGTTAGGCCTAAAATTGAAGAACCTTCTAAATCTTTGGTTCAAGTGGGGGTTAGGTTTGTTATGCTTACCTTTAGGAAATATAAGTAAATCCAAGATTTGGCTAGAACTCTTTTACGTAGTTCTACTTTATGATACGTATAAAATGTCATTTTGGGGAGGTTAATGTGACTAGGAGACTGGCTATGTATAAGAACTAGAATCTTTATTTTCCTGGGAAAATGGAGTCTCTTGAATCATGCTAGGTTCGTGTTCTTTTTATACATAAAGCAAATGGACTTGCTTCCAAGATCAGAGAGAGGCCAACATCTAGTCCTGTTTAAACTTAGAGCAAGAACTTGTGCTTTTGTTCCCTCTTCAATCCCTTATCCTCCCCAGCTAGCAGTGAATGTCTTGATAAGAAGTGTTTTGATCTGGGAACTAAAATCATGAGTGCTTTTCATTTAGATACCATTAAAAACATACAGTGTCTCTCAGAATATCCAGATAATAATAGCAATACTTGACTGAATATGTTACATGCAGTGTGTTCTAAAGAAATAGTATGTAGCTCCCTCAAAGGAGACATGATTGTGGTTCTTGAACATGGCATTCTGAAAGCCATGAAGAGGGCCACATCTCCAAGGCCTTATGCTCAAACATGTATTGAAACCAATCTATAGGTATCAGATAAGAAACCAACACGAAATATGCCCTCTATTTAAGGAAATTGCAGTCTGTTTTGCTTTTTTCCCCTAGATGATTCACTCTGCAAACTAGGTTTTTCTACCCATTGCATAAAATTTTAGTTGTCTTTGGTGGTAATCATAAGCCATGTTGTGTGGTTTTCTGTCTCCTCAGATATCCGGAAAGTGGTACTCTAGAAATGAATGTCAAGGATCTTAGACCACGAGCTAGAACCATTTTGAAATGGAATGAACTAAATGTTGGTGATGTGGTAATGGTTAATTATAATGTAGAAAATCCTGGACAAAGAGGATTTTGGTTTGATGCAGAAATTACCACATTGAAGACAATTTCAAGGACCAAAAAAGAACTTCGTGTGAAAATTTTTCTGGGGTAAGATTCTCTTTGCTGGTGCCATTTAATCACTGAGTTAATTAAGGAATGTAATTTTTAAGTATTAAGCATGTGCCCCTTAATATAGAGTCTATGAAAGACAGAAATTTCCATATTGAAGAATATTTTTACAAATTCTTGAGAATTTGTTAAAATTTAGGACGGCTTAAATCTCCCACTCTAAAGTTGGAGATATTATTTGGAAGACTCCTGGAAATAACTGTCTTTTACTAGGAATGTCCTTACTTACCTCACAGTTTCCTACAGATCAAACAAAATAATATATAAAAAGCATTTCCATGGCTATGCTGGCTGCAAGGATCTGTGTTGATGTGATAGTGGTGGATGGCTACCTAACCCGCTATCTGCTGGCTTTCTAAGACAAGCTGAAATATTCCTTCATGGTCATTTTTCCTCAACTTACGGAATTCAGACTTAATGAAGAGAATTAAAAATGCAGAAGTTCCCCTGAGACACCAGATAACCCCAATATTCCCCTCGTTAATTCTTTTTTGAGTCATTGTCTCACTTAGTCGCTGAGGCTGGAGTGCAGTGGCACTCTCATGGCCATCACAGCCTTGACCTGCTGGGCTCAGGCGATCCTTTCATCTAGTCTGCCAAGCAGCTGGAACTACAGGCGTGTACCACCATGTCCTGGTAATTTCTTTTATTTATCATAGAGAAGAGGTCTCCCCAAGTTGCTCCAGCTGCTCTCAAACCCCTGGGCTCAGGCAATCCCTTCACCTCCACCTCCCAAAGTCCTGGAATGACAGGTGTGAGCCACCACGCCCAGCCATTAATTCTTGAGGAAATACTTTTAGACGTTTCCCCAAGTGATAAAGTACTAGATATTATTTTTAGGAGTTTTGCTGTGTTAAGCGCAGAGGATTTTAGAATGACTGACAGGTTTCTTTTACATAAGGAAAACAGCCCAACTAATAGTCTTGTCAAGTGCAGCAACACAAAGGGACAAATCTGGAAGCAGTGGTCAAAAATACCAAGCAAGGATGGGTAAACGAGCTCACTAGCTGCCTGTTTTTGTAAATAAAATTGTGTGGGAACACAGCAATGCTCACTGATGTCGGTGTTATCCATGGCAGTTTTTGTGCTTGGCAGCGTTGTTGAATAGTTGCAACTGAGACCGTCTGGCCTGCAAAGCCAAAGCTACTCACTGAGTGAGTTGCTCTTTGTGGGAGAAGTTTGCTGACTCCTGAGATTTAAAAAAAAGAAGAATGTTGTGAGGCGTCGAAAACTTAATATTTTAGAAAGCAGACTTCAGAATTTCTTATAAACTCAAGTATTATTCTATTGCTGGACTATGGGTACAGCCTTTTAAATAACTTGAAACTCTGGTATGGGTACAAATCATAAAGCACCTAAATAAATGGACTGTGTAAGGAGCCTTATCATTTACTTGAGTGTACAAAGTAGAAAACAAGTGTACACGGTAGGATAACAGTTCTCATAGCATTAAACTAAAAAAGCTTGCTCTTAAAAAACATTTCTGCCTGGTCAAAGTGCCTCATGCTTGTAATCCCCGAACTTTGGGAGGTCGAGATGGGAGGATTACTTGAGACCAGCCTAAACAACATAGTCAGACCTCGTCTCTACAAAAAATAAAAAATTTATCTGGGCATGGTGGCGCATGCCTGGAACTACAGCTACTTGGGAGGCTGAGAGGGAGGAATCAGCTGAATCCAGGAGGTAGAGGCTGCGCTTCAACCTGAGTGACAGAGTTGAAACCCTGACTCAAAAAAAATTTTCCCCTAGTGATTCTAAGGTGTAGTTGAAGAGGAGCACACTGGTTTTAGGGAGTAGAATTAAGACTGAATGGAAATTATGGCTAGGCAAATATTGGTTTGATAAAGAGAGCAATTTTGGATTGCTGTCCCAGTGGTACCATGCAGTGTGTCCTGTAAAGGATTGTGTTCTTCATTTAAGGTTTTACTGGCAGCAAGGGTACCTGCATAATGAACGTTGGTGTACCTAACCCTGAATTGTACCCCACATTTCAAAATAAAAAAATTTAATAAAAGATTTTACTAGAAGTATTAGGAGCCCAAGAGCCAAAAAGGAACTCGTGTATCTAGTGAAAAGGGACTTTTTTTTTTAATGATTTGCAATTTTCTCACTGGAAATGGTGGGCAAATTGGGTGAGATTATAGATGCATTCTGCGGTTGATAGAGTTTGGGGCTGTTAACAGTGTTGCCATCACATGCTTGCACCTATGTCCTGGAATGTGTGTGCATTAGTTTCTACAGTGTATGTTGTGTCCAGGGGTAGAATTGCTGGGTTGTAGAAGCTGTGTATCTTCAACTTTAGTGGGTAAGATCAGATATTTAAGTGATTGTATCAGATTACTATTCTGCAACAGTATGAGAGTTTGTATTGGTTTGCATTCTCATCCACGCTTAGTTTTGTCAGACTTTAGTTTCTATTAATCAGGTGGGTATACAATAAGATAGTATCTAATTATGGCTTTGATTTGCTTTCTCTGACTCCTAATGGCATGGAGAACCTTTTTACACGTTAATTGACAAGTTGGTTATCTTTTGTGAGGACATGGTTCTGCACTTTTCATTTTTTTGTTGTTAATTAGTCTGATTCGTTTCAGGAGTTCTAACTGTGGAAACTAGACTATTTTGGTTATAAGTGACAAAAACATCTAACTCTATGGCTTGTCTTTTCTTCTTACGATGTTTGATTAGTAGTTTTTTCTTAATGTAGTTGAGGTTATTGACGTTCAAGGAAGTTGTTTTCCTTATGTTTGCACTTTCTATATCTTGCTTAAGACACTTCCCTACCCAGAGATCATAAAGATACTCTTTTATTACCTTCTAAAAACCTTGTGGCTTTGCCTTTCTTTAGGTCTTTAATCGGCTTGGAGTAGATTTTTGTGTACAGCGAGGTAAGGGTCAATTTAACTCAATACATGTGAATAAGCACTGTTTCTGGAAAAGCCCATCTCCTCCCACCCCCCATGGACTCATCATCACTTCTGTCATATCGCAGATCTTTATATGTGATGCACTCTTCTGCTTTCTCTGTTCTGTACCACGGTTCTGTTTGCTGTGTGTCTCTATAGCAATTCCATGCGCTCATAGCGTGACAAAGCAGGTCATCCTGCCTTGTTCTTCAAGTGGTTTTTGTGTGTGCTAAGCTCTGTGTGTTTACATCTGCATTTTTCAGTCATGTTTTCTCTTCCCGGTATAGAGGAATAAAACTATCCTTTGATCTTGGATTCAGTAGCTTTACTAGGTTTACTAATTTCCGTGTACATGTAGATTGTTTTGAAATGTTTGCAATTAGAATCATCTGAGGATTATAACATTTTTGTTTTGTCTTTTGATTTCTTCCTCTTGTCCTTATTCACCAGCTGGGCCCTTCAGTACATGTTGAAAAGAAGTGGTAATAAATAACAGGCATCTTTTATCCTTCAACTCTCAGTGCAGGCAGTCTGTCAGGCTCTGAGGGCATAGTTTTTCATATTTTAACATCTCTGAAATCTGTCTTGGAATTGCTATTGGTCTGACTAAAGTTGAGTTCTCGTAAAGATTTGAGTTTGATTCTACCAGTCATTAAGTGACGTTTAACTTGAACTTAAATTCTCTGCTTGAGATTTTTTAAATCACACAGGTAGTATGCATTTAGACCTACGAACCTGCATGAATTCAAGCTTGTGGTTTAATTGTTGGAGGATGCTTTTCAATTGTGGTGACATTGAAACAAGTATGTTTATTTTCCTTTTCTATCTGCAAGGTGGTTTGTTTCTCTTTGATCTTTAACTGTGAGAACTGTTTGGTGTCCCAACTTTGAGGGTTGTTTTAGATACCTCATTGCAGGCTCTTTTTCCCTTGAAATTACATAATCTTAGAGTTATTGGCTACCATTTGGTGTCTTGTCTTTATTTGGGGGTTCTTTTTAGACTGCCCCATTTCAGGCCAGATTCTTTTTTAGTAGCACATAAAATAATGTTTTACAATTATTGGCTTCTTAGGTCCCGTGAAATATGGTATTTCTAAAGAAATGAATTGATATACATATTTTGATTATGATCTATGACTTTATTCATTTTGTGTGTAAGGAATGTCTGGTAAGCCTTTAAAATGATAAATGAGTGAAAAGGTGACTTTTAGCTTTGAACTTATGGCATTTATTGAATTCCTTAAAGAATTACATGGAAGGCTTCTTCTAAGTGGGTTAGGACAGCTGGCCATAGATCCGCCCTCTTACCTGAAACAACCACAATAGACAGATTTAATAGTTATAATCTGTTTACATGTGTTTGAGGGTGGCAGAGGGTCAAGGAGAACTTCTGGGGCTGACTCTGGAAAGGGAAGAACCTTAGAAGGAAGCTGGCTTTTGTTGTTGTGTTTTGCCCCTTGGGAATCTGTTAATCTGGATGCTATACAAAAACTACTTGAGAGCATCTAGGAGCAGGGTGGGAACAGAAATCAGCAGAGCTTTTGACAGATATTTGGGATTCCTCAAGCGGATGGCCTGCTTTTCACCTTAGGACTTTGGCTGAATTCTGGACTTCTGCTGGGCAAAATGCTGAAAATTAAGTAAAAAGCAGGGTCACATTTTCAGCAGTCTTAGAAAACATATGTAAGATTTTGGGATCACTAGTGGAGTGGCTTCACAGAATATATGACAGTCTCTTCGTTTCAGAACTGAATGGTTGAGATTAAATCTACCAAGACTGTAAACCATCCTTGACTTAGTATAGTTGCCAGTTAAAGTGTTAAACTACCACAGTGTCTCTCCAGCAGAAGGAATAATGGACCTTCTTTACATTAGATAATATCTGAAGCTTCTAATGTTTTATATACACTGTCCACCTTGAAGCCAAAAAGACAGGGACACATAATCAGAACACAGAAGAAACCAATAATAGGAACGGATCATGTGTGATCTCAGTAATTCCAGTTGTCAGAGACTTTAACGTAACTGAATAATATGTTCAAGAAGAAAGATGAAAAGGTGGTGAATTTCAACTGAGAATTGAAATCTTTAAAATAATCACGGAGGTGAGTGGATTGCCTGAGCCCGTGGGTTCGACATCAGCCTGGGCAGCGAGACCTCATCTCTACAATAAATCAAAAAATCAACCGGGCGTGGTAGTGCATGCCTGTAATTCCGTCTACTCGGAAGGCTGAGGCGGAAGGATCGCCGGAGCTCAGCAGGTCGAGGCTGCGGTGGCTGGGAGTGGCCACTGCACTCCAGTCTGGGCAACAGAGTGAGACTCCAACTCAAAAAATAAAAATAAAATAATCACATGAAGATTCTAGAACTGAAAATTACAGTAAGAAACTAAGACCTCATTAGATTGATTGAACAGTAGATAAGGATTGGCAAACTAGCAGAAGTTAAGTTGATTAAAAACTGCCTAAACTGAAAACACAAAAGACACATGGGACTTGGTGAAGGGCCTCCTTGTGTGTATTTGTACTCCCCAAAGGTAAGGGTGGAGTGAAAATAACATTTGAAAATATAATAGCTAGAGTTTTCCAAAGCTGATAAAAGTCATCAGTCCAGATCAAAGAAGTTCTGTGAACCCTAAGCAGGATAAATACAAAGAAAACACATCACAAGTAAGACTGCTGAAAACTAAAAATAAAAACACAGGGAAGATGACTGAGTTTTCATCAGAAACAATGTAAGCTGGAAGACGATGGAATGACGTGTGAAACTGATTTGAAAAAATTCCCAGCCGGGCCCGGTGGCTCAGCTTGTAATCCCAGTGCTTTGGGAGGCTGAGATGAGTGGATTGCCTGAGCCCGTGGGTTCAAGGCCCACCTGGGCAACTTGGCGAGACCTCATCTCTACAATAAATCAAAAAAGTAGCCGGGTGTGGTAGTGTGTGCCTGTAGTTCCAGCTACTTAGAAGGCTGAGGCGGAAGGATCACCAGAGACCAACAGGTCGAGGCTGTAGTGGCTGGGAGCGGCCACTGCATTCCAGTCTGGGTGACAGAGTGAGACTACAACTCAAAAAAAAAAAAAAAATTCCCAACTTAGAAATACATTTCTAATGAAAAGATCTTTCAAAAAGAAGCCAAAATAAAGATGTTATCAAATAAACCTGCAAGAATTCATCACTAACAGGCATTCACTAAGAGAAATACTAGAAGGAGTTTTTAAGCAGAAGGAAGAGGGTCTCATATAAAAACATAGAAATACTTTAAGAAATTAAGAGCATGGGAAGGGTTAATATATTGATAAGTATAGATAGTCCCCCTCCAAAAAAATAGTGAAGTTTAAAATATGTATGGAAAAAATATGTGACGACAATCATGTAAAAGATGGGGCTGGTCATGAAGTTGTGAGATTCTAACATTATCAGAAGTAAAGTAAAAGATAAAGGACATTACATCAGATTTGCATAGTTTGCTTTCTGGGGTAACCGTTAAAAATTAATAAAGGATTTTTAATACAGTGAAAATGGAAAAATAAATTAGCTGAGCATGGTAGCACACGCCTGTAATCCAGCTCCTTGGAAGGCTGAGGGGGGAAGGATCACTCGAGCCCAGCAGGTTGAGGCTGCGGTGGCCGTGAGCATGCCACTGCACTCCAGTCGGGGCGATAGAGTGAGACTCTGATTTAAAAAATATATTAAAAAAAAATTCTACATTTAAAACTAGACCAAGTGAGGAACATCAAGGCGAAAGTATAGTATGTAATATGGTCTGACACGGTAACTGTAGTATAACCAAAAAAAGCAGGAAAATACACAACAGAGTTTAAACTTTTCGTGCATGTAATATGGGATAAAGCAGGGGGATATTTGTGATATTTTAATTTTGGTATCCTTGAGAAACAATTTTCTGGTTGAAAGAAAAAGGAAAAACATATAATTTTACTTTTAAAAAGTGTGATACTTTTTGGCCCTGAATTTGAATAAAAAGTATTAGTATGGACTCAGTTTTATGTGTATGTATATTAATGTGTATTTTTTAATTTTATGGTTTTGTCCACTGAAAAAGCCTACAAACAGTAAACCCAGTTGCAGTATGCTTTCCTAGTGCCTAACTGTTGTTTTGAAATACCCTTCCCACAGAAGGAAACTAGGGTTTCTTGGAGATAGGACTCCTGACTGGGTCAGAATGTATAAGATGAACCTGGAACATCTTGTCATGCAAATAACAAGGAATCCTGTAAAGATGGCTAAATTCCAGCCAGAGGATTTGGGATTCAATGGGAAGCTTCCACTGCCCAAAGATGAGACCATTTGAACATTAATAAGTAAAGTGAATTGAGACACATCAAATATATTTAAATCTGTGAGTCCATAGTAACGCAAACTTTTTGGTCATCTATGGAAGTGGCAGAGAATGATATATATATATGCAAATATATATGTAAATATATACACACACACACATATATACATATGCGTTTTTTTTTGAGTTGGGGTTTTACTTTGTCACAGCATTCCAGGCTGGAATGCTGTGGCAACTCATGGCTCATTACAGCCTCAACCTCTTGGGCTCAGGCAGTCTTCCACCTCAGCCTCTCAAGTAGCTGGACCTAGCATATGCCACTGCACCCAACTGATTATTTTTTGTGGAGGCAGGGTCTCGTTATGTTGCCTAGGATGGTCTTGAACTCCTGAGCTCAAGGAATCCTCCCACCTCAGCCTCCCAAAGTGCTGAGATTACATTCATGAGCCACCGTACCAGCCTGACTTATTTTTAAAACTACTAAATAAACATTTTATTTACCTTTGTTATGTGAGCTGTGCCACTGGGTCACGAGCTAATTAATGAGGTCCAGTTTCTCTGTATATAAGTGTTCTGGTAAGGAAATGAAAAGGGAGTAATACAACTGGAATATCCTCGGTGAATTGAAAAATCGAAACATTGAGCATCAATAGTGCTATCATGACAGGATTAGCTAAGTGTGGTTCCAGCTACTTGGAAGACTAAGGTGGAAGGACCACCTGAGCCCGGCAGGTCGAGGCTGTGGTGGCCACGAGCGTGCCACTGCACTCCGCCTTGGGCGATGGAGTGAGACTCCGACTCGGGGGGGAAAATACTACTGCAAATCAACTACCAGTTTACAAGAAACACAGTTGACAGAAAAAACTGTTTACCTGAGAATGCAAACATCAAAATCAAAACTGTCAGAACTCCTACAGGACATATGGTTGGAGTTCTTCAGCAAATTTTTTAAGAAGAAAGAGATGATGTGGGGATTTATAGATCAGAGTCTTTTTTTTAAGAGACATGCTTGTCACCCAGACTGGAGTGCAATGGCGCAGTCCTAGCTCATTGCAGTCTCAAACCTTGGGCTCAAGCGAGCCTTCCACTGCAGCCTCCGTGTGTGTACCACCACACTTGGCTGGATGCGCGAAAAAAAATTCTGTAAAGAGTCAGTGTCTCACTGTGTTGCCTAGATAGGTCTTGAACTCCTGGGCTCCAGCAATTCTCTCACCTCAGCCTCTAAAAAAGTGCTAGAATTTCAGACGTGAGCTACCAAGCCTGGTTAGGTCGAAAACATTAAAACACAGAAAACTTTTAGGTGACAAGATGAAGCCAACCAAGGTAAATATAATTCTGGGACAGCTGTGAAGAGGTTGTCACTGGAGAGGGCAAGTAGCGGGCTTCTGAGGCAGTTAATATTCTATCCTCTGCCATGGATGGTGACTACAAAGAATTGGCACCTTATAATTGGTTATGCTGTGCATTTATTTATGCAGTTTTATGTATACTTGACATAAAGAGTTTTAAAAGGGTGAAAAGATGGAAAGTCTTCAAGCAAATGCTCACCATGAAAAGTAGATTTTTGGTGCAGAGTGTATTACTAGAGATAAAAAGACATTTTGTAAGAAGATTTAGGATTCTTAAATCAGACTGCACCTAGTGACGTAAAAAATGCCAAGCAAAAGCTAACAGATTAAAACAAGAAATGGATAAGTCCATTCCCATCACAAGAAACTTTAAACAATCATGTATAAACAGATACAAATTGAATATGACAAACATGGTTTGAAAGATTTTAAGAAGAGGGCTTTTGGTTTTGCCCAGAAATTTATATTTATTTGAAAAGATAGCTACTTCTCACCGATCATATAATAATTAAGTCTTATTTTTTTTCTCATCTGATGTTACCTGAAAGTTATGCTTAACTTCGACTTTTCCTAATATTGAGAACAATAATTCAAAGTGGTTGGAATGGCTATAATCTCAATTTGTAAGTAGGCAAATTTCCGTGCGTTTCCAAACCGACCTTTAATTATTATTTGTATATAGTTTAGATTTTGCTGGCATAAGATAACCTTTCTTTTTTTTTCCTAAACAGGGGTTCTGAAGGAACATTAAATGACTGCAGGATAATATCTGTAGATGAAATCTTCAAAATTGAGAAACCTGGGGCCCATCCTCTTTCATTTGCAGATGGAAAGTTTTTAAGTATGGGTTTTTTTTCTTTTGGCCTTATACTGCATGTGTTTTACATGATTGCAATTTATTTTTACTGGTCTGTGAATAACTTGGGAGGAAGCATGAAATGTTAGAACGTACTACTTTATTTTCAAGACAGCAGTGTTTTTTCTTTTTGCTTTTTGAGTAAGGGTTTTCTCGGTCCCCCAGGCCAGAGTATAGTGGCATGACTCTGACTCGCCACAACCTTGACCTCCTGGGCTCAAGCGATCCTCCTACATCAGCCCCCACCAGCTGGGACTGCAGGCGCATGCCGCCATCCCTGGCTATTTTTTTTTCATTTTTTGTAGCGACGGGGTTTGCTTTGCCGCCCAGATTGGTCTCAAACCCCTAGGCTCAAGCAGTCCTCTCACTTTGGCCTCCCAGAATGCTGAGATCACAGGCATGAGCCATCGAGTCAGAGTCTCACACTGTCACCCAGATCGGACTGCAGTGGTCTGCTCATGGCCACTGCAGCCTCAGCCTGCTGGGCTTGGGTGATCCTTCCGCCTTAGCCTTCCAAGCAGCTGGAACCACAGGCGCATGCCATCATGCCTGGCTAATTTTTTGATTTATTGCAGAGACGAGGTCTCACCAAGTTGCCCTGGCTAGTCTCGAACTCCCAAAGTGCTGGGGTTACAGGCATGAGTTACCGCGCCCAGCTAAGGTGCTGAGATTACAGGCATGAGCCACTGTACTTGGCAAGACAATAGTATTGAACTAAGATTGATTTTGATTTAATGGATTTTTCCAAAAGTATAAGATTTTATATTTAAAGAAACAGATTTATTCAGAACGAGGTGTGAAGTGTAAAGAAAATGAAACATATTATTATATTTGCTTCCCCCGTCCTGAGAAAGCAGGATTGATTGAGAGGACAGAAAAACTCCCACAGTGGGAGGGGACTCGAGGAGGTTGCCTATATTTGCAATGTATTGCTTTTTTTTTTTTTTTTTTGAGTCGGAATCTCACTCTGTTGCCCAGCCTGGAGTTTAGTGGCATACTCATGGCCACGGCACTCTTGACCTCCTGGGCTCAGGCGATCCTCTCACTTCAGCCTTCCCAGTAGCTGGAGCTGTAGGTGTGTGACACCACACCCAGCTAACTTTTTTTTTTTTTTAAATTATAGAGACATCTTGCCGTGTTGCCCAGGCTAGTCTCGAACCTGTGGAATTACAGGCGTGAGCCACCGTGCCCAGCTGCTATTTTCTCTTAAAAATTTTCCTTTAGGTTTATGTATGTATTTATTTATTTGTCCATGTCTGTCACCCAGGCTGGAGTGCAGTGGCATGATCCCAGGTCCTTGAAGCCTCAACCTCCTGGACTCAGGTGGTACTTCCACTTCAGCCTCTCTAGTAGCTTAGACCATAGGCAGATACCACCAAGCCCTACTAGTCTTTTTTTCTTCATTTTTTTGTAGCGACAAGGTCTCACTGTATTGCCTAGGCTGGTCTTGAACTCCTAGGCTCACGCAGTCTTCCCACTTTGGCCTCTCAAAGTGCTAATATTGCAGGTGCGAGCCACTGCTCCCTGCCTAAACTCCTAAGAGGCAGGCACTTGAACGATGTATGACATTCTAGGCAGCCTTCTGTTTCTGTATAATTCTTTGTGTATTTATGCAAGTGTGTTTAAAAAATGTGTCTGTAATCTCCTTTTAATAGATGTGGCACCTATTTATCCTAAGAATTTTTTGTAATGTTTATCCAGCTATTCTCCTCTTGATTGACACTTAAGTTAACTTTGGGTCTTTTGAACATTGCTGTTAAACCTTTTTGTGTACATGAATTATATAAAACTTGTTTATACATATGTATTTTCAAAATTTTTAGAGAACATTTTGGCTAAAGGTGTCTAGATTTAGAAGAGGACTGATAGAGCGTACCTCGTCTGAACCAATTGACAAGCAAAATGAAAATTAACTGCGCTAGAAATGCCACCTCAATTACTAAAAAAAGAGTACCTTGGGGATATAGTTTGTGAGAGCTTGTTAACTCCAAACATGCCTGTTTCCTTAGGACAGCCATCTCAAGGAACGGTCATGTCGCAGAAGAGATGGCCTTGTCTAGGTCACTGTTTTCTCTGGTTGAGCTGGACAGGGAAAGTAAGCACACATCTATCATGACGCAAGCCTTTTGATTAGATGCCTAGATGAGTGTCTTAAATTCACCAACTAGATAAGTCACTCCACCTCCACAGAGGAGCAGTAAGGGATAGGATAAAAATTCAAGACTGTTTAGAAAAATACTTTGGAAACCAGCAAAGTAGCAAAAGAACTATCTTCTAACAAAATCATAAATTTTTCTGAGTATTGTCAAATGACTTGTCAGGTGTTTATCAATTTGCATTTTCACCAGGGTTTGCGTGTGTGTGTGTGTGTGTGTGTGTTGGGATCTTCGTCTGTCCCCCACGCTGGAATGTAGTGGCATGGTGGCGGCTTGCCACAGCCTCGACCTCCTAGGCTCAGGTGATCCTTTCGCCTCAGCCTCCTGAGTAGCTGGTGTTTCACCATGTTATCAACACAGAACATTTATTAAAGACCCAAAGTGTTAGCTTGCACCTCTTTGAATGAGATTAAGTATCTACCTGAGGACTTGCCCATAGTTTCTCAAACCTTCTTGGTTCATTGAACCATCAGTGTCTCGGTAATTTTTTCATGACACTCATGCACTAAGAGAAACACCTGTCAGGTCCATTTATCTATTGAGTAGTTGAGTCCGAAGAACTTTGCTGAACATTATATATCCCTTGAAATCTTAAGATATCTATCCTATGGTGCTCAGTGAGTTCACTGCACTGCCCTTGGGTCTCTTGGTGTGCATTTGGGGAACTGTGGATTGATGTTATATATATGTGTCCTCATGTTTGCCGATCGTTAGATTTTTCACTGGCATATGCCTGGACCCTATTCTGAAATTCTGATTCGTAAGTCTAGGAGGAGGCTCAGGAATTGATTTCTAAACACTTGTGCATGGTTATTCCTTTTGGATTCGTTTCAACAGACAGCTGTATGCTGTATGTTTGGGTTTTTCCTTACAAGACTCATAGATGTAAAGATTACTTAAGACTAAGACTAGCCTTGCTCTAATTTTGTTTCTCACTAGGGAGAAATGACCCTGAATGTGACCTGTGTGGTGGAGACCCGGATAAGAAATGCCGCTCTTGCTCCTGCCGTGTCTGTGGCGGGAAACATGAACCCAACATGCAGCTTCTGTGTGATGAATGTAATGTGGCTTATCACATTTACTGCCTGACGCCGCCTTTGGATAAGGTTCCGGAAGAGGAGTACTGGTATGAGTCTCAGGTTCTTATTGTTGTTACGTAGAGAAGTAAACGTGAAATAGTTGAGCCGCCAAAGGGGGATTTCTAAAGATACGTAATATTAAAATGTTGCAGCCAATGGTTACATGGCATTGATAACTCTATTCGATTACTGTAACAACTTCTGAACTGGTCTGTAGCTCCATTTTTTAAATCCTGCCACTTCCTTTTCCAGCATGGAGTCTGTGTTCATTCAGAAACGCAGATCTTTGCTTTAGAGGCTTTATGTTGCCTTACAGGACTCTGTGTTATATTATCTAGTTATTTCTCCAGTTACGTCTCTTGCAAGATTCCTCTTTCATTCCCCAAATACTCTGTACTCTAGCCAGATGCAATATCTTCTAGCTCATGTCTAAGAGTCGTGTTCTTTTTGGGAATTGTGCCTTCACTAACCTCTGAAGGCTCATGTTTTCCTCCCGAGACTCTAAAATGCAAGTAATTTTACCTGCTCTCACAGTTTTGCATCCTTTTGCCTATTTTAGGAACTTCATTCCTACAAACTTGTCTCCCCAGTTGCCACTGCTGGGTCCTTCTCATTAGCATCCAAGAGTCTCTAGTTTTCAAAACATGCACACGCAAACCTTTTTGATCTCGTTTCTCCTACCAGCTGCCTACTCTGTTCTCTGTTCCCCTCGTGCCAGAGCTTCTCAAGTGCATTTTTACTCGTCGTTTCCATGTCCTCTCAGCACTCCAAGCTGGTTTTCCTTCCTGTTACTCCGCTCTGTCTGCTTGCTTCAGGCTCACATATACTTCTGCATTTCCAAGCCTGATGATCAGTTCTCATTCCTTAGCCTACTGCTCAGCTGCTTGCTCTGTTTTTAGAAACTTGATCCTGTTTTTCTACCTACTTCCCTGGCCTTTTCTTCTTAGTCCCTGGTTGGTTTCCCTTCACCGACTGTCTCAGGATTTCCCCAAGGCTCTGCCCACTTGTTTTCTCCTCATGCTTGCTCCCTGGGTGACCTCCTACGGTTATGAAACTTTAAATACCAAGTTAGTACTTCTGAGTTTGTGTCTTCAGATTGAATCCCCTAGCTGTGTGTTCCGATACACGGCTGGCTGTTTAAGTGGCATCACAAGGGCAGTCCAAATGGGGATCTTGATTTCCACAAACACTTCCCCTGAGGTCCTGCGCCTCCCTCGTCTTGAGTAAATACCACTGCAGTCTGCTTGTTCATGCCACAAAGCGAGACTTCATCCTTCATTCTTCCTTTGCTCCCTCGTGTACTCTCCATCAACAAATTTGTCTGTTCTCCACCTCTCTCCCCCTTCTCGCCCACTTGTGCAAAGTATTGTCTCATTCCTGAACTTGTGTAACAGATATTGAGCTGGTCTCTTTGCTTCCACAAGACTTGCCTTTCTCCCATAACAGCAGGATGGTCTTACTAAGTCCTGAATCAAGGCAGCCGCCTGTTTGAAACCCCTGATGTCTTCCTGTTGCACTTAGGGTAAAATCTCTTAGCCCTGACCTTCATGGCCTGGTCCCTGGGTGCTCCCCAGTGTCCCTTACTTATCACCAGCCCCTGCTGACTCACTAACCTTAGGCTTTATGTTCCTCAAAGCATGCTGTTTCTTTTCATGCTCGGGATGCCTCCCTTTTTCTTGTATGTACTGGTTTTCCTTAATGACTGTGTGCAAACTTTTTTTTTTCCACAAATGCTATTCCTAGCACCAAAATAGTGCCTTGCACATAGGAGGTTCTGAACAAACTATTTAAAGGAATGAATTCCAGGATGACTTTGGGATGATATAATCAGGAGACTGTTTTAGGTCACTCTGGAGCCTATCTGTGCCTTCATATCCTGGAACTCCTTAACTTTACATCTTTTCTACTTCTCCAAATCCTGTTGTCTTGATATTTAACCTCGGCACTAACTTTCTCATCAGATGAATAATACCTGCTTCAAGTCACAGGGATCTTTAATAAAATTACAGTTATAATGGTGAGGCCTTCAGGTAAATATAGTCTTTCTTCAGGACAAATTCAATTTTAGAAACCTTTCCGGTTTCCAGCTAGAAGGGACTTTATAGTATTTATTTAGTGCCTTCTCAGACATAATTGGCTCAAGGTCAGGGACTGAATTATTTACATGTTTTTCTCCTATAGTGCTCACCAAGATATCTCATAATTAGCAGTCAGGATTGACTAATGGGCATAGATGTCTTCTTTGCTCTAAAGGCTACGTGGACTAGATAATTATGAAAAAGAAAGTCTGGACAAAGAAATTTAAGATTAATTGGTCAGTGGCCATTAGATCTTTGTTAGTGTATTCTCAAAGTTTTCATTCCTTAATGACTCAAGAATAGCCTCATCTCATTCTATAGCCATATATCTTGCTTTTCAGAGAAGATTTAGGGCAGTTTATGAGATACAAGGTTCAGTAGGAGAATCAACTACAAATAGACTAAGGACAAACAAACATAGGGAATTAAAATTGGTCTGGGGTAAAGTTGATGTAAACAAACATCCTTGAAGTCCTGTATACTTGTTATAATCTATACATTATTGACTCTGAGATGCTAATAGCAAATTTAAATGGGGAGATGTATCTGCTGCATAGTTGAATGTTTGGTCTAGGAGCATCTGTTCTTACTGCTTTTGTTTTAATGGTAAGAACTTCAAATGAGACCATTGCCTTACTAGAATGTGGTGTGGCCATGTGCTCTTTGAGCTATAGCTGTTGCCAAGCTTCCTAGCTTGACCCTCTTCCCTGCCTTGGGGAGGTGAATCTCTTCTCTCTCTCTAATTTACTTTTTAAATAAACTATATTTTCTAACCTAAAAAAAAAAAAATAACAATGAATAATTTCGATCTCAGGGTTAATGATAAAATTAGAGTTCTTGGTAGCGTTTGAATCTCACAGCTTTGTATGGCTTTTGAACTGAATTTGAGAATTTATACTACTAAAATCTCTCAGGGAATGACAAGTATTTTTTATAGCCAGCCTAACCATGTAAATATTTTTGAAAAGTTTGTATTTTAATACCAACTAACACTCTGTATATGTACCAGGTAATACATCTGAGAACTTGCTCTAATCTAGAAAGGCTGTTACTCTGTTACTGGTCTTAATATGGTATTATCCATTCCTTTGTTCTTTGTTTCTTTTAAAGGTATTGTCCTTCCTGTAAAACTGATTCCAGTGAGGTTGTCAAGGCTGGTGAAAGACTCAAGATGAGTAAAAAGAAAGCAAAGATGCCATCAGCTAGTACTGAAAGCCGGAGAGACTGGGGCAGGGTAAAGAAGGAATTCCTCTTTTCTTCCTAGTAGCAAGTTGTAGTCTATAATGTTTCAATGCCAATAGTTGTAATGGTGCAAAAAATTAAGCAATATAAATGTTTGTTAATATCAGTGGTACCTAATTAGCACAGACAGTTGGGCTTCTATTATGTTGCCATGTTATTAAACTTCCGTTGATATTTAACATAACTGGCCATTGCTTTACTGGATTCTGGGGTGGCCATGTGCTCTTTGAGCTGTGGCCAGGCCATGTTTTCCTAAACCTTGGCCCCTTCTCCTACCTTGGGGAGGTGAATCTGTCTCCTCTGTCTCTCTACTTTTAAATAGAGTTTTAAGTAAACGACATACTTTAATCTAAAAAAAGATTTGATATAACTTGTTTCTCAAGCAGCTTGTTGTGTGACTTGTAGGGAATGGCTTGTGTTGGTCGGACGAGAGAATGTACTATTGTCCCTTCTAATCATTATGGACCTATTCCTGGCATTCCTGTTGGATCAACTTGGAGATTTAGAGTTCAGGTATGTTTATAATTGGTGAAGGTGAAAGGCAACTACTGGATATTGTTCACATTATAGCAGTGTTCATGTCTGTTGATTATAAATGGACCTAGCTGGTAGTGAGGATGAGATTTTCTGTAGGATGAGTCTGCTCTTCCCCAAAGGTCAATAAAGGAACGTACCTCATAGAATTAGGCCTCTCGTCACTTCGTTTTACTGTTCTGTTGCATTCTGGTGGTTAGCATTATGAAGCTCCCCGGATAATTTTTTTGCCAAAAGTTTAATATTTAAAACGGTAAACTTTGTCATTGTCATGTGGCAAATTCTCATTTAATATCATTGAACTCTAAGCTCATTTCAGATGTTTTCTTTGGGGGCTGTTCTCCTGAGTGACTGCTGAGATACTGGGCAGAAGGAGGTGCCAGCTGGTTAAAAGATAAAATGAGGCCAGGCTCGGTGGCTCAGCCTGTAATCCTGCGCTTTGGGAGGCCGAGATGAGTGAATTGCCTGAGCCCGCGGGTTCAAGACCTGCTTGGGCAACTTGGTGAGACCTCATCTCTACAATAAATCAAAAATTAGCCGGGTGTGGTAGCGCCCGCCTGTAGTTCCAGCTACTTGGAAGGCTGAGGCAGAAGGATCGCCAGAGCCCAGCAGGTCGAGGCTGCGGTGGCCGGAAGCGGCCACTGCACTCCAGTCTGGGCGACAGTGAGACTCCAACTCAAAAAAACAAACAAACAAACAAAAAAAAGATAAAATGACCTTCCTTTTCCCTTGAGGAAGGCTATGTCGAATTGTTTACTCCTGATTTCTTTAGAAAGGTGATCTTATCTCGTAAAACTCAACGCGAGTAGAGCACTTTCCAATTAGAGATGCCAGGATTCTGAACTTTACTTTAAATAAGAAAGGCTTTAATTTTCATACTGAGTGGCCCTAGTATTAGACTTGTAATACACTCCTAAAGTTGAAATTATCATTATTACAGTCATTACTCAGTACCTGTGGGGTGGGATAGGGTTCCAGGATTTCCCATGGATACCATCATCCATGGATGCGCAAATTTTTTGTAAAATGGTGTAGTATTTACATGTAACCTGTTTTCACTTTCCAATATACTTTAAATAATCTCTAGGTCACTTATAATATCTAAAACAGTGTGAATGCTATGTTAATAGTTACAGTGAAAATCGTGATAAGGGGAAAAATCTATAGATTCAGTACAGGTGTAACCATCATTTTTTCCCCCAAATATTTTCTACGCTTGATTGGTTGAATCTGCAGATGTGGAACCTGCAGGTAGGGAGTGCCAGTTATATATACATAGCTTGAAAAGTTAAGTACTCTGGGCACAGTGGCTCACGCCTGTAATATTAGCACCTTGGGAGACTGAGACAAGAAGATTGCCTGAGCCTATGGGTTCGAGACCAGCCTGGGTAACTTGGCAAGACCTTATCTCCACAATAAATCAAAAAAACTAGCTGGGCATGGTGGCACACACCTGTGATTCCAGCTACTTGGAAGGCTGAAGCGGAAGGATCACCTGAGCCCAGCAGGTTGAGGCTGCGGTGGCTGTGAGTGTGCCACTGCACTCCAACCTGGGTGACAGTGAGACTCCGACTCCAAAAAAAAGAAAGAAAAGTTAAATACTAGTAAATGGCTTATATCTTTAAAACCTACCCTACATTTCTTCTGCATTTTCTGTTTCTCAGCAACAACTACTTTAAAATTTTAGTTGTGTCCTCTGGACTTACCTTCTTATTTCTGAATAACATGTTTATACTGTTTTTTTCTTCATATTTCAGCTTTATTAACTTCCTTCTTTGGAGAATGAATGCTTCGTTTAATATTTACTTTCTCTGCCCTTTCATCCTTGCAGTAGTTGTATCGTAAATTTGGTTGAGTCAGTATTCAAGGTTTATGTCATTATGACTTTGGAACCATACCTGCAATAAAATACTATGTATAAATAAAGTGTAATACTATAAATACAATAAAACATCCTTAGTGTATCTATTTGTCATGCAGTTGTTCTTAGCAGAGTAAAAGAAGCTAAAATTCAAGCTTGCACAGGGGGCTTAGGAAAAAAGGTGTATTTTTTAATTGCCTTATTTTTTGCCTTTTTTTTTAATGCCTGTTAGTCAGTTATTCATTCCCAAACTCCAAAATCCTCTTTATATGATCTAAGATGACTATGAAGTTGTTCGCCTGAGCAACTAGCCGGATAGATTGGCTATTTGGGAAGTGGGGAAGATCCAAAAAAACAAGTGACTTGCCCCAGGGATGATGAGGAGGGGAAATCTAGGGGCCCCTTCTGCTGAGGCGTTTCTAAGGCCCAAGCCTTTCTGGCCTTTGTTGCCCTCAGCAGCTGCTTGCTGGCTTCCCACGCTTCTAAAACGCCCTTTTACCCCACAATCTGTGCCGGCTTGAATGTCCGTCTCCTTACTGTGGTCAGAACAGCTGCGTGACAGACAGCTGAGCCCCTGGCCTTCCCCGGGGAGTCTGAAGTGCACAGCCAAATGGCCCTTGTTCTAGGGAGGCGAGTTGAAGCTCGTGGGCAGGAGCCGTCGGCCCTTGAAGCAGAAGAGCACAGCCAGAGAAGAGGAGTGGATCGTGTGCTTGGGCAGCCTCTGGCAGTTTTGGCTCAGGCACTCAGGGTCCAGGAGGGAGAAGCTGGAGGAGAGCAGGAGCCAGGCTGAGAGGGGGACGCATACCGCTTAACCTGAGCTTCCTGCTGTGGGACCATTTATTGTATCTCAGCAGTTAAAGATCAAATGCAGAATTGTGCTTCAAAGGATCGTTCTGTTTATGACAGAATAGGTTTGACTGGGTGTGATAGCTCAAGCCTGTCACCCCAGCACTTCAGGTTGCCAAAGCCAGAGGCTTGCCTGAGCCCAGGGGTTTAAGACCTCGTCTCTACAACTTTAAAAAAAAAATTAGCTGGGCGTAGTAGAGTGCGCCTGTAGTTCCAGCTACTTGGAAGGCTGAGGTGGAAGGATCGCCGGGGCCCAGCAGGTCGAGGCTGCGGTGGCTGGGAGCGGCCACTGCACTCCGGTCTGAGCGACAGAGTGAGACTCCAGCAAAAAAAAAAAAAAAACAGGTTTGACAGAAACTGGAAGCAGTATGCGTTCTTGACACAGACTAAGATTGAGCAGTGGAGTAGAAAAAGGTAGATTTGAGAGACTTAGGAGGTAAACCCGGCCGTCCTTGTGACCAGACAGGTTTGAGGAATAAGGGAGGAGAATAGGACTAAAGTAGCTCCTACATTTCTTTTTCTTCTTTTGAGTTGAAATCTCACTCTGTCACTCAGGGCGGAGCCTCGACCTGCTGGGCTCAGGCGATACTTCTTCCTCCGCCTTCCAAGTAGCTGGGACTACAGGCGTGCGCCACCACATCTGGCTAATTTTTGGATTTATTGTAGAGGGGAGGTCGTGCCAAGTTGCCCAGGCTGGTCTCGAACTCAGGCAGTCCTCTCACCTTGCCCTCCCACGGTGCTGGGACGATAGGTGTGAGCCACCGCGCCCAGCCCGCCTGCATTTCTGACTTGGCAGGCGTGGTAGGGAATAAGGCCACAGTCAGAGATGGGGAGTGAGGAGAAGAGCCGTGCCCGGACCCCTGGTGGTTCTCTTGGCAGAGTTGAGCTAGAGATTCTCGTAGACATGAGGGGTTATTTACTAGTTGTTGTAAAGCCGGAATTCTAGGTCAAATTGCTTGTCAGAAACTTAAGGATATATTTTGGGAGAGCTAACACGAGAGAACAAAGGACAGCACTCTGGGGAAGACGCGGATCTTGGGTTTTCAGGCGTCAATAATGTATGTGAAAACATGTTGCACATGTAACGGGACTGACTTCTCAGAGGTATTTTGAGACTCTCTGTTTTACTTTACAGGTGAGCGAAGCAGGTGTTCATAGGCCCCATGTTGGTGGAATTCATGGTCGAAGTAACGATGGCGCTTATTCTCTTGTCCTGGCTGGTGGATTTGCAGATGAAGTAGTAAGTCGTGACACAAGTTTATTCTTTAGAACCTGTCTTGATCATTCAGTAAATACAAGAACGTTGCCTGGGGTGTATCAAATGCTACTGTGTCTTTTCAGCAGTTTTTACGTTGATCGGTTCTATACACGTTATAAGGTAAATCAATTGGCAGTGTCTAATCTTTACCTATATTGGTTTGACTTAAATACATTTAATAATTGATACTTATAAGGAAAATACATTCTCTGTAGAACTCATTTAAAAATTAAAGGTTTTATTTTGAAATACTGATAGAGTCACGTGTAGCTTTAGAAGTCATGGGAATCCTGTGCTCTCTACTCAGTTTCTCCCAATGGTGGCATCTTATAAACTGTAGTACACTGTCACAACTGGGACATTGACGTTCCACAATCAGACAAACCATTCCTGTCATCCCCATTTCCATGATCACGTTGCCCCTTCACAGCTCCATCCATCATACTTAGGCCCCAGTTGCTAACATCCACTAATCTGTTGTCCATTTGGATAATTCTGTGACTTCAAGAATTTTTATAAGTGGACTCATGTAGTATGTGACCTTTGAGACTGTTTCTCTTTTTTTCGCTCAACATGATTCTCTATAGATTGTTGCATGTATGAGTCATCATTCCTTTTTTTTTTTTCTTTTTTTTGAGTCAAAGTCTCACTCTGTCGCCCTGGCTGGGATGCAGTGGCACACTCACAGCCACTGCAGCCTCGGCCTGCTGGGCTCAGGCGATCCTCCCACCTTAACCTTCCAAGTAGCTGGAATCGCAGGTGCATGCCTCCACACCCAGCTAATTTTTTGGTTTATTATGGAGACGAGGTCCCAAGCTGCCAAGGCTGGGCTCGAACTGTCCACTCGCCTCACTTCCCAAAGTGCTGGGATTACAGGCATGGCCACTATGCCTGATCATTCTTTCCTTGTTATTGCTGAGTACTGGACCATAATATGGGTGTGCCACAGGTTGCTTAGTCATTCGCTCATTGAAGAACATCTGGGCTCTTTCCAGTTTTTGATTGTTACAGGTAAAGCTGCAGTCAACATTTGTCAACAGGTTTTTTATAAATGTGAGTCTTTAGTTCTCTGGGATAAGTGTCCAGAAGTGCAGTTCCTGGGTCACACGTAGTTGCATGTTTCCTTTGTGAAAGAAACCGCCAAACCATTTTCAGCAATAACTAACATTTTACTTCATTCCTGACAGGGAGGTGTGGGTAATCTAGTTTCTCTGCATCTCACCAGCATTTGCCATTTTTGCAGCTTTTGTTGTAGCCACTCTGATCGGTGTATAGTACTACCTTGCTGCGACTTTAATTTGCATTTCCTTGATGGCTCGTGATATCGGACATCATTTGTCTGCATATCCTCCAGCCTCTTTGGTGGTGCAGTTCTTGGGGTTTTGCCCGTTTTCTAACTGGGTAGCTTTTGTTTTTGCTGTTCACTGGACAGGTCATGTGTGGATATTTTCTCCCAGTCTGTTTCATTTTCTTTCATGGGACGTTATAATGATGAATTATAGTAGCTATGGAGAGCACAAAATTGAGCATGTTTTCAGATGAAAAGAGAAAAGCCATCATTCTGAAAAGCAACTTTGGCAGTGCGTTTACCATAGCATGGCCAAGGAAACTGAAAACAGACATATTTAGGTTCATCTTTTGCATACTCCTTTGGCATGTCTGAAGCTATCCATATTAGTGTCAGAAACCCAAAGTTTACAGTAGACTGTAATAGTCAACTCTTTAGCATCTGACCAATTGTATTTGAGGCGGACTCTGATGTTTGTTGTATGTGAGACTTTGGCCGAATTACTAAATTCTGGTAAACCTCAGCTTCTCATATGCAAAATAGAAACAAATAGTATTGTTATTTTATAGTTATATTAAATGAGATGATTTATGTAGTCTGGTCATACAGCAAGAACTTAAACTTCAGTTATATTCTCTGTAGCAGAAGCTTATCTTAACTGTATGAAGCATATTGAAAATGTCACAGTAAAGCTAAAAATGAGAACCAAGTTGAAACGGGGGTAGGTGGTGTTTTCCTTTTTCTGTCTTTTTGAATATAGTTGGTAGTCAAATGTTAAAACATTTGTGGAGAAAAGTACCAACGAACAGCTAATGTCATTTTTAAGTAGTTAAGTCTATTGAGTATAAGGTGACATGTAGGCTTAGGGTGACAGCTGAGCTGTGTCTGGAGACGTTAATGTATAAGTGGTTTCAACCTTTTGATCTTTCTATTGTGGGCAAGCCATGTGTACAGTAGTAGGTAAAGGGATACTGAATGAGCTTTTCTTCAAGAAGAAATTTGTTCTGAAAGCCTTGAATTTGTATAACATTTATGGAGCCAGTGTTCTTTGTTCTGTTTGGATTCATGTCCCTGATGAAATTCATGAGTACCTGCTGACAATGGAGTTAATACTTTAGCTTAGTACCTGGAGACTTAGTCGTATTCTAGTTTGGGTGATGAGGATGCTCAAAGATGGTCTGTCTTCATCTTCTCAGTCGTCCTGGGAAGCAGTTTTCTCAGGGTCAAGAGAAGACTGAAGCCGCACTGTGTGAGTTTGTGACCTGGAGTGTGGAGCCCTCTCTTCCTGGCTGTGTGACCTTAGTGCTCGGTGGGTGTTACCTGTGTGGCGGTAGTGCTCCGTTATGCAGGCATGTAAAGGGGTCTCATGAGGGAAACTCGTCAGTTTTTTAGAAGGGAGGCTGTATTCTAGACAGCCTTGAATTAAGTTGTTGCGGGAGTCTGGGAAAAGTGGAATGGTCTTCACTGTGTTGTTCTGGAATGGTGTGTCTGACGGTCTACGAGGAGGGAGGTTGCAAAGAGCGCGACGGAGGTCTTCTACCTGGAAAGGCTGATGGCAGGAGTAGGAGCGTTCGGCTTGCTGTCCTGAGAAGCTGCTGCGGCTGCTTGGGAGGAGATTGGAGGTTGGGAATACGCAGGAGCTGAGCTACTCCGGAGCACACCAGGCCCCTGTGTGGGTACAGCTTCTGTACGTGAGGTTTTCCCAGGCCGCAGGCCTGCTGAGGCCACTGCTCCACCGAGGCGCAGCGTAGTGAGTAATGGGCTGGAAGATGCGGCAGCTTTGCGCTGATTTTTTTTCCGTGGGAAAAACCGTCTGAAATAGTCTTGGCTGGGCTCTGACAGTCTGGCAGGTTTGTTTTCCCGGTAATTTGAAGTTTTTGTCGAGGTGATGGTTAAGTACAAATAAGTCAATGGTGTAGAGTTTTCTCCCTTTTTACTTGATCGTTCTTCAAGCAGCAAAGAATCAGAAACAATTCTGCTCTTACATTCTCAATCCTCTCCGGCTTAAGTTGCTTTTTTTATGCTCCCCTAGTTTCGATTGCTCTCTCTTTGTAGCACGCCCCTGGTTGTTGATGTGAAAGGGGGCAGAGCTGTGAATATGAGTGTTGCAGGGTCAGCCCAGATGCCACGGAGAAGACTGGCTTGGGTCGAATTAAGAAGTGGTCTGGACCATTATAGATGTACTTACTAGAATTCTCTCCCATAGAGTACATACTAAAGATGAGATTCCTTCACACCTCATTTTCAAATGCATAGACCTCAGTATTAGATCAACAAAAAGCTGGTTTAAGGTTTTGGGGCCAATAAGAAACTTTTAAAACCATGAGATTTTAGTTATGCCTTTTCATCCAAAGGAAAAATAAAGTATAAACAATTGACTTCTATAATAAGAATTTTGATCTGTCTAAAACTAGAGATGACAAAGGAATATTTAAATAATTAATTTTTTAAAATTTAGGGACAACATCATTATCTAAGTTCAGTCTGAACTAATTACAGTGATCTTGCATTAAAGAAGAATCACTATTGAGCTACTGTTGGTAGAACTAATTGTATACTCATATTTTCTCTGTTTTGAGTACTGAATCAGGTAGAGTTCAAGACCAGCCTGGGCAACATAGATCCCATCTATATTTAAAAAAAAAAAAAAACTAGCCAAGTGTGGTGGCTCGCACTGTAATCCTAGTACTCAGGAGGCTGAGATAGGAGGATCACTTAAGGCCAGGAGTTTCAGGCTACAATGAGCTACTGCAGTTCCAGCCTGGGCAATGGAGCAAGACCTTGACTCTTTAAACAAACAAACAAAGTCAACGCTTTAGGTCAAGTGCTGTGATTTGAAGGTATACTACATGCAAGATAGTGATTCAATTATTCGTTATTTTGATATCTTAAGAGAACATGTCAACATATAATAATCTTACAAATATTTTGACTCTGAAATAAGAATTATGAAATTATACTCAAATTTAAGTATCTTAATGCAGAAAGTCTTTTCTTACAGGACCGAGGTGATGAATTCACATACACTGGAAGTGGTGGTAAAAATCTTGCTGGTAATAAAAGAATTGGTGCACCATCAGCCGATCAAACATTAACAAACATGAACAGGTACTACTGTAGAGACTATTCAGAACTTGGGCGTTGTATAAAAGTTTATACTTTATCACTTAGGCTGCAGGGGAAAATCTTAAATTGGAAGTTTGAAATTGAAAGTATATTCTCAGATTATATACTTGTTTGTAAGCATCCTAACTTATTTCTTAATACTCTTATTTTAAAAATGGCCCAATTCCAAGTGTTTCTTAATACATGTGCTCTGCATTTGAAAGCATGTTGAGACCTTTGAAGGAAAGAAACCTGAGTAATTTAAGGGAAACTGAGACCAAGGTGGCCTGTCTGCTACTCCACAGTTCAAAGCTAAAGTGATGTTCTAATTCTTGAAGATTTGTCTTTGAAAATGACAAATGTCTTTTTAGAGGAGATTCTAATGTGAAAAGGATTGTGTTTGGGAGCCACATTTATGTATATAAGTTAAATATCAGATTGACTTAATCAGATCTGAACTCAAGGTACTCCTAGAATTTATATTAATAGCATATATAAGTGTTAGAAAAGGGAATCTTCATTTAGTTACAAAAGTGATCTTTTCTAACTAAATAATTTTAAGGCATTACAGAAGAGCCACCTTGTGCTAACCTTTATAGAAATATGAATGACATCCCAGTTCACATGGGAACAGAAAATTAGTAATTTCAAAATGTTTTTATTTTGTAAATGCATGCTAATACCAATATTAATAATGGATAAGTATCCCAGACCATCAAATAGCAAAGATCACATTTTAATTAGTTACACTGAAAATTTTGTGATCATTTTATAAAGTTAATGTTTTATATCCTCTGAATCTTCGTAGGATATAAAAGAAAAGACATAAAATCAAAAATTTATATCCTATTATTAAGAGCATTTTGTGGATTGAGTTTTTTACTTTGAGTCTAAATCACTCGGTTTTCAATAGTGTTCCCTTAATTTCTGATTACCGTGTGAGATAAAGAATATACCAGTTTGATTTCAAGACGTTATTGCATACCAAGTTACAGAGAATCTGTTTTTATGTCTTCTATATTATTTCTGACAGTAGGATTGTTTTTACTGAACCAGCAGAGGAGACAGGTCAGATTTGCTGGTGAAAACATTCCTGAGGCAGGAGTCTAAAAGGAATGTGTTAAAAGAAATATTTTCATATGTTTTGTCAATGAAAATGTATCTTGAATTTGCAAAGTTGTCAAATCTGAAAATTTTATTTTTCCTGTAATTATTTTGCTTGAATGAAACATCTTTTATTACTACCCACCCTTGTACATGTTAGATTCTTTTCAAGCTTTCAGACAATCTAATGAGTACTGTGGCTATTTGAATAATCGATAGGCAGTAGAACTGTTTGCTGTCAGTGGGAGAGTAATGAAAACGGAGTACCAAACGGTTTCGAAATGACGTGTCACACAGCCTTTAGCGTCTAGTCAGTGGTTTTATACACTAAACTGTGAATTTGCCTTATGACTGTAGGACCTCTTAGGCAAAGGTACCAAAACGTCTTACAGACATGAAAACTGAGATGAAAGGCCCTTAGCTCTGACCCAGAGTATATTCTTTCCCTGATAGTGAGTGGTTCGATTCATTTTTGCTTCTTTACTAAGAGGTAGTTTAAAACATTCTTGCTTCTGAGAAATTTATTCCTATTTCTTCCCAGCTCTGCTATAAGAAACTGAAGAGGGCAGCAAAGTCGCCTGGCATCCTTTATAAGGACAGTTAGAGGCACTGACAGGTTGAGCTGCAGATAGAGAAGCGGAAGGGCTTTGAGGCGGGCACGCCTGGTCCATCCTCTTGGACTCTTCACATTCTGGAAGAGCCTGTGTACTCATGTGGAGCCAGAAGTGAGTTGACAGTGCCAGATAGGGGTGGCGATAATTGGGACTGGAGGTAGCCGTGAGGATTAAGACGTGTCACTCAGCAACACAAAGGGAGTAGTCTTCCTGGCTCTTTAAGAAGATAAAGGGTATAATCTCGATAGGTCGTCCACAGGGAGGCTGAATGCTAGCCCTAGTGCTGTGGCTGTGTTTTCGTCTGCTTCCCAGAGTTCGCATGCCGTCTCCCTTTTAAATGAAAGGGTGTCTTGGTAAGCCTTATACTCTTTGACCCCAGCTGTAAGAGTTATTTTAAGAGGCAAAAAATGCATTTGCTTCAGAAAATATAACAGTGGTCAAGAGGTTTTTTTCCCCGATAGGTTAGTCGTACAGTCTTGAGGTCTGTTTTTTAACTTGAACCTGCATAAAAAGAATACCCTGAAGAAGTACTTTGTGTCATGCACGATGTCACAATAGGACATACTTCTTACTTGATTTTTAAATTTTAACCTCAAGTGTTCTTAATGTTTTCTTGTCACTTGAGTTAGGAAGGCGGTACCTGGGGGAAAAGACTAATCTTAAGCAAATCCTAAAACTAGTATTTTAAAGTACTAAAAATAGATTTAAAAGACATTTTGGCAGGACTAGGTTCTCCCGAGAGAGGTCTCCGAACGCCGAATAAGCTTGCAGGTGCGCTGCTACCGCGTGAGGACACACGCGAGGGCCGTTCCAGCAGAGTCGGTGCGACTTCCAGCCTGGTGCTTCTCCTGGCCCTTGGGGTCGCAGTAGAGTGTGGTGGTCTCAGGCAGCCAGAAGTCTCCCTTGTGGTTTTAGCACAGGCATTTGGGTGCTTCGGGCTTACTTAGGTTTATCTTCTTATGGAGGCCTTTAAAAAAGACTCTTCTATGACTGCACTTGTTCTTAGTGGATTTTAAACTTTAAGAGATCTCTGTTGTCTGGAATGTGGAAAGTAGACCTAGGAAGGTCGCTTGTACCTTGCAGACAAATTTATATTTCTGGATTTCTTTCTACATTATTCCAGCAATTTGCCTTACTCCCTTATCACAGTAACTATTAAAACAATCACTTGCTCTAGTTACTCAACATTCTCCCTTCCCTCGACAAACGTTATTTAAAGAAAATTCCATGTATTTCTAGTTGTTTTCTATTATACGTGGCACAGATGTTATTACTTTCAGAAGAACCCTACAGGCTATCTGAGAACCAATCCCCTGGCTTGGGGGTGACATCAGAAAACTGATTTGTCTTCTCTGCTGGTGGGGGAAAGCATAATCCTATTATCTGGAATAATATGGGAAGAATCATAGACTCTTAACCGTCAGGTAAGGCATAATCTACCTTTTAATAGCGCTGATGACTCGATTGTGTGCGTGAAGGAAGACTACTTGGTATGAAGACGGTCTTTTTGTCTTTCAGGGCACTGGCCCTAAACTGTGATGCTCCATTGGATGATAAAATTGGAGCAGAGTCTCGGAATTGGAGAGCTGGTAAGCCAGTCAGAGTGATACGCAGTTTTAAAGGGAGGAAGATCAGCAAATATGCTCCTGAAGAAGGCAACAGATATGATGGCATTTATAAGGTGCTCGATCTGGCATGACATCTCGTTGGTCATTCTTCCTGGGCTTTCGAGGCAGGGTTGCCACAGGGACCGACTGTGGGTGGGCGCGAGGAGGCAGTGGGCTCTCGGTTGCTGTTTCTGCCTTTTCTGGAAACGCAACGGATGTCCAAGGGAGCTCTTACCTCTAGTGCTTTTCTTTGGAGGCTTATTTCAAGTTCCTAAGGGCAGAGCTATATTTTGGGTTAAGATTTTTTAAAGTAAGTGTTTATTCTCTGTGATACAACCATTTAAATAAACTGGCTATTCTAGACCTTGATTTTTATATGTCTTCTCAGAATGGTTTTAATTGTAAAAGATTTAAAAGCAGAGCACGTAACAGTAAAAATATATTTGCATTCTTTATTCAAAAATAGGGGCATCTACTGCCATCATTTTTATCTACTATGCAAAAATCTCTTAATTAGTGTAATTTTGTTACTAAATTTATCTCTATTGTACTTATGGGAGTTTTAATAGGAATTAAGATCGAAGCGTTTTAGTGAATATTCTTGACTTACCCACTATTCTTACAGCAAAGCAAGGAAGTTGCATTTAGCTCTGGCAAGTTGACTTATACCACTAATGTGATGGCATTGTGAGCAAGTCTAAACTTTAAGTCACAAACTTGTGCTGAAATATGATCTAGGTGGTGAAATACTGGCCAGAGATCTCATCAAGCCATGGATTCTTGGTTTGGCGCTATCTTTTAAGAAGAGATGATGTTGAACCTGCTCCTTGGACCTCTGAAGGGATAGAACGGTCAAGGAGATTATGTCTACGTTTACAGGTTAGACGACATTTGTCTAAGCTACTTGTGTGTTCATAAAAATATACACCTCTGCTGTCCGCCTTAACACTGGATAGAGCCCACAGCAATTGATCAGTGGCCTGTAAGGGGTGAGGAGTACGAGCGTGCGAGATGCAGAAGGAAAGAGGGGAAAAGCAGCATCCCAGGGGTCAGGCGGCCCTGGGGCCAAGGGGCATGCTCGGGGGAAGCTGCGCTTGTCAGTGAAAAGTAAGATGTCTCCAGCTCAGATTAAAAATGACTTGGACTGTGAGGAAAGGGAATTCACAAGACGGGTACAAGTGGCCTTGAGAAGGGGTGCTTATGCTGGAGGGCACAGGGAGTGTGTCTGTGCAGGGGAGGGGCGGGGAGGCGGCTTGTAAGGGCGGTCTGCCTTCCGCCCTTCTCACTTTGCTCACCCCTTCTCTCTCTTCCCCTGCAAAGCTGCTTTCCTGCCCTGCCACTGCCTTTAGCGCTTTGCCTGCTTCTCGCTTTGCCCCCAGCTCGGCTGCGAGCCATCAGCCTTGGGCTGTGTGAGCGTGGTGGTTGTCGTGGCTGCCTCCCCCTCCGCTGCCCGTGCGCCCGAGGCTTGTCCCCGGCACTGAGCGTCAGAGCCTGCTTTGCGCTCTTCCCCCATCACTCCCGCTGTGCTCCTCGTGGAGACGGCCAGCTTTGCCATTTCCCCCGGCTCTGCCCACACTGCATGTGTGGGGGCTGAACCGTGGGCAAGTGTCTGAGCCCCAGGCAGGTGAGTGTGTCTTCCGGTGCAAGTCTGTTTCTGGGTTGGTTTTCTTCTTACACGCGTATCAGTGACTGTTTAACCAGTCCATCAGCTGCTGAAACAGCTACCAGAACAATTCTTTTTCATATAAGAAAAAGAACTTTCCAAATTCACCTTAAAAAGCTTTATCGGATCCCAGTTTCAGAGCATTGCTCTGGGTTGTTAGACTTGAAACTGAGCTGGGGCATGTGAGCCCATCCACTATGATGGGTTTGCAACAGCATTCAGGCCTGAAACCGTGAGCGTTGAGCGTGAGCATTAGTAGAAAGCATGACACACACACACAGTGGCCATTAAAACGTAGGAAAACAGGATTTATTGCTTCAAGTCTAACCTTTAGCTAGTCGAGGATTTGGTAACTTAGCTGCTTTAGGTCTTCTAAACGCTCTCCCCAGCGTTGGGGACAGGAGAAGATTGGCTTCTAATACTTGGGGCTTTGTTTTCCTTTATGATGCTGACTCCACAGTTTACTGTGCTCTCATCTACTTTATTGCCATCAGTCGTGCTCTGTGGCTGACCTCCGTTACCTTCGTGTCTGCATCCCCCTTCCCTACTCGCGAAGTTTAGTATGCCCAGTCACGGTTCCTGCAGACTTGCCTTTGCTCTCTTTGATCTGAAACTAAAGTCAGTATATCACAGGAATCTCCTAGCAGTCAAAGCTACATAGTTTTAAAATAAATTGGGAATCTTAAGAGTCATCTGTCCTTTGAGTTCTTTTTCTTTAAATGTTCGTTCTTTTATGTAAAGTCTTCCAGCTTTGGGACCGTGTACTCCTCCCGCCCCTTTTAAAATTTCTCACCAAAATCAAACCCCGCTTGGCTGTGCAGCTGAAATCTCCCTTGTCCTCTTCCTCCCTCTCTGATCAGTATCCGGCAGGCTACCCTTCAGACAAGGAGGGGAAGAAGACCAAAGGGCCGGCGAGGAAGCAGGCCGGTGGAAGCACCAAGCGGCCGGCCTCGGAGGGTAGGTGGAGACTGCCGAGCGTGAATCCTAATCACGTTCTTTGCAATAGGGAGAAGTACTAAGAGAACGGATTGAGAGCCTCGGCTCGTAAAAACTTAAAAGTTAAAGGGTGTGTGGGGCGGAGGGTGGGTCTTCTGTGTATTTTAGCAATTCCGAGCCAAGATGGCAGCAAATACACTGCTCTAGACTCCAAGGGACGGGAGATGCTGCTGGATGCTGCTGTCTTTGTGCAGAACATGACTGGGGCCTGTCAGTTTTTCTGTTTCATGGTTCTGCTTAGAACCACTTCTAAGTCTACTGACTTAGTTTTTCTGCATGAACCCAGATGACTGTCCAAGTGCCTCCAAAGCGTTCAAAGCGGCAGATTCGGCAGAAGCAGTAGAGGCTTTCCAGCTAACTCCTCAGCAGCAGCAGCTGATCAGAGAAGACTGTCAGAACCAGAAGCTATGGGATGAAGTGCTCGCATCTCTTGCGGAAGGACCAGTATGTAGACATTCTTTAAGTCGTCGCGTTCCAATATTAGCAAATGATGATGAATTTTCTCGTGAAGTATAATTTCCACAAGTCAGTCAAAGCTTGATTCTTCTGTCCAGTTTTCTCATCCGGTGACACCACTCTCAGAAATACTCTGGGGAGATAAATGTAAAATGCCCTTAGATTTATTTTAAGCCTCTTCGGTGTCATTTTTTAACTCCTCTTTGCCTGAACTTAATAATTTAATTTGAGATACTGCTCCAGGGAAGAACTTTCAGTTGTGAAAAACAGTCAACTTAATCTAAAACTCACCAGGAGAGTTTTTGTTATAGTCCATACTTACCTAAGCAGCTCAGTGTGGTTTTCACAACCTTACGTGTTCACCTTAGGGTAAACCACTTTAAATTTCTTATTTTAGATTTTCCCTATTTTTGGGTCATCATAAAATTCTAGAGTAAAAAAGAATCACAAAATTAATTAATATGTGAACCTTGTGCTAAGCTGTGTTTTACAAACAAGACTTTCCCATCACATCCTCGAAGTTTGAAAGCTTCGCGTGTGAATTTATCTTTGCTCACTTGCTTTTTTTTATTGCCCTAACTCTGCTTATAAATTTGAATCTTCTGTTATTAGACACTGACCCTGTGTCGCTTGTCACACAATTACTTTTCTGTTTTCTTTCTCTCTAAAGTGCTGATGTGCAGCTATTGTGGGTGAGCTCTGGTAGCCTCTTAAAATTCCGTTTTGTCATCTCTTAGTAATTTTGTCTTTCCAGTGTTCCCTTTATTTCTCTCATTGCGTTAGTTATGACTTTTTGTATTCTATCTGAAATGAGGCTGATGAATTTCTATGTTTGCTTTCTATCTAGACTTAAAGAGAACACTTGGAGGTTTTGTGTTGTTCTTTGTGAGAGATAGACATCTTTTTTAAAAACTTTGTTTTGGGCCATTGCCTTACTAGCCATGGTGTGGCCATGTACTCTTTGGTCTAGGGCCGTCGCCGTGTGTCCTGAATTTGGTCCCCTCCCCTACCTTGGGGAGGTGAATCTCTCTCTTTCGTTCTCTAATTTGCTTTCTAAATAAGCTCTATTTTTCTAATCTAAAAAAATAAAAATAAACTTATTTTGTAGAGACATGGTCTTACTGTGTTTCCCAGGCTGGTCTCAAACTCCTGGCCTCGAGCAATCCCCTGTTGTCTTGACCTCCCAAAATGCTGGGGTTACAGGCATGAGCCACCATGCCTGGCCAGTCACCATTATTGCATTAAGGAAGAACTTTTTCATATCATTTGAAAACATTTAGAAATGGTAACATTTATCAAATACTTGTTGTGTTTATATTGGAATCGCCATTTCCCTTGCCTGTGAATGCAATGTGTTGTGTTATTCTTGGTAGAATGAATATTCTTGGAGAACAGAAGAAGGTGAGTACACTCTGTCCCTTGCTTTCCAGCCAAAAGATTCAAGTGTAAGGAGAGTCTTTCTCTGTTAGGTCAGACTCATTTTCACCTAGAGCAATGGGTAATCACAGGCTCATCATTCTCTGATAGGGGAGGATAAAGCTGGCTAGTGATCATGCGGATGAGTTCCAGCTGCAGGTGGACCGGAAAGATAGCAGAGACAGGCGGAGGAAGAAGCCACCTGAGTGCACATGAAAGTTCTCTTCCCTGTGTGATTGGTGTCCCATGGGTGACAAGATCAGACCTGCCTAACCTTGCCCCAGCGATGATTCTAGATGTTCACGTACTGTTATCCTGGACAAGTTTCATGCCCGTTCTCTTCACATAAGCCAGGACCCATTGATCAGAAAACCCAAGTGTTGGCCAAGTTATATCCAGACTCCTTCCCGGGGTCCCACATGATCAGCCGTCCTACCTACACCTGTAGTCTCGTCTTCTACTCTCATGCCCAGACTTCTGAACTGCCGCAGTCTCTGTGTTACTTGTTTTGCACACGTACTAGAGCTGACTGGAATTTTTTTTTTTTTTTTAATTTTAAAGATGTGGGGTACAATTCAGGGTTAGATACACAAATGGCCATTGTACAGGCAAAGTTCGGGCCTCCCTTTGGTCCCCACGTCACCTGGTTTGAGATCAGGCGTCCTTCTTGATGACGTGTGAGCCCCCGCCCCCTCCCCCGGCAGTTTCCGCTGTTGCCAATCCCTTTCTTAGAGTATTGTGGTCATTGTTGAGAGTCCACTTCTGAGTCAGAACATGCACCTGGTTCTTTCTTTCTGTGATGGATCACTGAGTAGGACAGACTCTAAGTCCATCCAAGTTGCTGCAAAGTTCATAACTTTGTCCTTCTTTATGGCTGTGTTACATTCCACCGTGTATATTACTCCTTCGTATCCTTTCAGTCTGCAGAGAGATGCACTCCTCATACAGGCTTTCTCCAACTACCCTTTCTAAAATAGCCGCTCTTTTTTTATTTGGAGTTTTGCTATATTGCCCAGGCCGACCCCAGACTCCTGATCTCAAGTGGTCTTCCCACCTCATCCTCCCAAGTGGCCCCCTGAGACACACTCCTTAACCCGCTGGCTTTTGTTTGTTTGTTTGTTTGAGTCGGAGTCTCACTCTGTCGCCCAGACTGGAGTGCAGCGGCCGCGCTCGGCCACCGCAGCCTCGACCCGCTGGGCTCCGGCGATCCTTCCGCCTCAGCCTTCCGAGTAGCCGGAATTACAGGCGTGCGCTACCACGCCTGGCTGACATTTTTATTTATTGCAGAGATGAGGCCTCGCTGCCCAGGCGGGTCTCAAACCCGAGGGCTCGGGTCCTCCACTCGCCTCGGCCGCCCAAAGGTGCGGGATGACAGGGTGAGCCACCGAGCCTGGCTGAACCTGCTGTTTTAATCGGCCTTGTTTCCTCAGTTATCACTATCTGGAAGTGGCTTTTGGTTTCTTGTTTGTTTGTTGTTTGAGGCTGCTCTCCTGTAGGAATATAAGTTCCATGAGACCTTCAAGAAACAAACAGTCAAGTTTTGTAACAATAAGAGATTGGACAGATAATGCATGTTTATATACTACAGTAACTGTGCAGTGCAGCTTTTTGAACAAGGCAACCAGTATGTAATGACCTTGAGATAAGCTGCCCTTTTTTTTTAAAAGTGAAACATAATGTATCCCTGGCTGGGCGGGGGGTGACTTTTTGATGCCATATGTTTTGACTTTGTAGCCTTTCCAGCCCAGTACTATGCTTTAAAACGAATGTGTATAGAATGGGATTTCTTCAGTTTCACTTTTCTCAGGTTATAACCCCAACTACTCATTTAAAGCATAGTAAATGTGATGAAACACTTTTTCATAATAGATGTACATTTTGGATTATATGTGAAATTCTGATATATTCATATAATGCGTAATAATCACATCAGGGTAGTTGGAATATTCATCACCTTAAACATTTTTCTTTATTCTGGGAACATTCAGATTACACCCTCATCTTTCCAAGGTCAGATGCGATTGCCAGTTCAGGTTGGTGTGGCCGTAGTCCTCCTCACTGTTTTTTAAGTATACGGGGGAAGGCAGGAGAAGAGCAGAATTATCTATGGGAGGGTGGGCCCCTGGTAAGTATGGGCTTCCCTGCTAGATGAGCGTTCTAGACACCCCTCGGCATTAGTGTGCCAGCTAGCGTTGTTGCAACAGACTGTTGAGCTTCAGTGAGTGTGCTTGTTTGTTTCTTGGAGATTCTTTCACTGTGTGTGCCCGTTTCACGATGGGTGATTTGCAAGTGCATCTGCCCACACCATGCTGAGTGTTCGGTAGTTTTGTTCGTTTTTGTTTTTGTTTGCTTTTAACCAAGAATGGCAAGACCCTGTGCCCCACCCTCCCACTCGCCCGACCTCACTCCAAGCAGCTTCTTTTTGGCTTCCCTGGACGAGGAAGGCCCTCAAAGGGGAAGGCTTTGCTAGTGCGGAAGGGCGACAGAGAGAATGGCGGAAGTAGGAAATGACATCGAAATTATGAGCTCAGAAACTGTCGAGCACCGGGAAAACCTCTGGATAGGTGTGTTGCATCAAACGGAGAGTCCTTGGAAGGTGGCTGAAGTTTGAACACGTACGAATACATACATAGCTTTTTATAAATAAGTTCCAGGACCTTTTGCCGCCCCCTGCCCCCCCTCCACCCGGTGTAAGAAGTGGCTGGGTGCAGTGGCTCACACCTGTAATTCCAGCACTTTGGAAGACCGAGGCAGGAGGATTGCTTGCGCCTGGAAGTTTGAGACCAGCCTGAGCAGCATAGCAAGAGCGCTCTACCAAAAAAATTCTAAAATTAGTTGGGCATGGTGACATGTACCTGTCGTCCCAGCTACTCCAAAGGCTGAAATGGGAGAATTGCCTGAGCCTAGAAAGTTGAGGCTATGGTGAGTCATGGTTAGGCCATAGCACTCCAGCCTGGTGACAGAGTGAGACCCCCAACTCAAAAAGAAAAGCATATATTAGATTATTGTTTACTGTAGTTCTCTACTGATTTATTGAACATTAGGTCTTATTTCTTCTAACTGTATTTTTTAACCTATTTTTCAGCCTCTAAGATGCTTTTTTTCCCCTGATCACATAGAATTGTATTAGTATATCATGAACTGCTAACCTTTTTTTTCTTTCCCCTTGGGGTACCATTCTAGAATTTTCTGAAAAAATTGGAACAATCTTTCATGTGTGTGTGCTGCCAGGAGCTAGTCCACCAGCCGGTAACAACAGAGTGCTTCCACAACGTCTGTAAAGTAAGTAGAGTTCCTGCCTCATTTTTCTTGTTAGGCACGAAGGCGCACTGACCTCTACAACTGCTTTTTAGCATGCTAAGAAGCATTTTCTGTGAAGCAGGATAGTTTCAGAGCTTTGCCAATTAAGAAGCATTTTATTGCATCTTGGTGGTGAATACATTTATGAATTGAATAGTAATTCACATATTTATTGTTTTAGGCATCCTATCATGTTTCGAATTTTTTAGGTGGAGTTGACATGGAGAAGAAGAAAATAAGGTGTCATAGCTCTTTTCTATGCAATAGCCTATATGTTTATAGTGCAAACTGGAATACTTACAGGCTCTTAGTTAGGAATCTAAAACACACCCTATCTGGCAGCATGCCCAGATGAATGAATATTGTGTGACCGGTGTGGTATAAAAGGAAAGTTTGGGTTTTAGTCGAGTCACGGTTGGAGTCCTGCTCTGCAGAGTGGCGGTTGTGTGCCCTGACCCAACTTCAGAACTGTAGTTTCTTTTGCGAAACAGAAACAGATCTCCTACAATAGGAGTCAGTACGTGACCTTGAGTCAGTGAATGCGCTGTAATCAGTACGGCTAAATATATTTTGGGGAGACACAGTATGTGTGAAATGACTTGGTAAAATATATAACTTATTGCTAAGCAAAGGAATCCTGATGATTTTTTTCCTCTGAGGCTCTGTCAGGAAAGAACGGATTAGAGTTCAGCATAAAAGATTAGGCTAACCGAAGCCATACGTAGTTTGTAGCACCATCATTTTACAGAACAAGGAGACTGACCCACACAAAGTTAATCATTTCTCTGAAGTCTCACGTTATGTGCCGGAGGAGAACTAAAACCCTGACTGCAGACGTTTCCCTAGTGAGATTCAGCCTCTGCTGTTGATCATCCTGTACCTCTCTCTCGTTACCAAGCAGTAATTTTCTAGTTCCTGCTTAAAAGCACAAGTGATTGAGCACTTTTCTGCATGCTTTACCCTCGGTTGAAGTGGGGTGTTTTTTCTGCACCCTAGGATTGCTTACAGCGCTCCTTTAAGGCCCAGGTTTTCTCTTGCCCTGCTTGCCGGCATGATCTTGGCCAGAACTACATCATGATTCCCAATGAGGTTCTGCAGACGCTGCTCGACCTTTTCTTCCCCGGCTACAGCAAAGGACGATGATCGACTTCCTGGTGGCTCTCGACAACAACGAATCTGGAATGGGTGGGGAGGGTGGAAGTGGTGGACCACATTGCTCACGCCCTGAAGCAGCTAATCCTCTTGGCCACAGAGCCGTCATCCTGTGTGTGTAGTAAGAGGCTCGTTCCTCAGCTGTCTTGCCAACATCACAAGGTAGTTCCTGTCAGTCACGGCTGGTTTCAGTGAGTAAAAAGTCGAGCCTCAGCTCTGGTTGATACCCGAGTTAGGGTTTATTGTGCAACTACCTCAGGACAGACAAGATTTAGGGGGATTCTGAAAATCATCGATGAACTAATTCAGTGAGATTTTAGCTACACACTGCCTCCCGAATATTAGTTGTGCCTGGTTCTTGTGATTTGAGTCTACAGAGAAGGAAGGGACACTTGGGATCCTCGGAATGGACGCCGCTTCTGTAGTGGGCATCGACACTTTTTTAAATGTCTCTTCTCCATTACGATGTGTGTTTTGCAAGGACAGGTTCATTTTTTAGCCCGCTCTGTGAGCTCATTGTGCTTTTTTCTGGTGTTTTACGCAAGTTGACTACTAATGACTAATGAAAACAATAATGAATGCGACGTTAGTGTAATGTGGTGTGGTTTGCACTTAAAAGAGGTATTCGATGCTCTCGTTGTAAATGTTCATAAACCCACTTCTGTACTAGTCCAGCTGCTTGTAGTGAGTCTCACCAGTGGTTTTACATCTGCAGAGTATCGAGGGCTATGCTGACTTTTGAGAGGATTTGAAATTGCTTCATATTGTGATCCTAAATTTTATATTCACTATATTCCCTAAAGTATACCTTAATAAATATTTTATGATCAGAAAAGCAGCTGTTGGCTTTACTTTTTTAACACGTGTCTCTTTACAGAGTTTTAAAGAATCCCGTCTTTCATGGCGCGTCTTTATTGAAACAGACGCTTCTTACCTGGACTTTAGCAGTGACAACTAGGGTGGCTCTTAAGCATGAAGGGCCAGTTTCGTCCTCACTTTGATTCTTTCCTCCTCCTTTTTTGTAAAGCGCCTGTGGAGATGCCACAGCACGTACGTTTAAAATTTCAAAATGAGATTCTTGTGACCCTTCTTTTATCTACGACTTCTGTCTTACCTTCAAATTTAGCGTAATCATTATTTCACAGACATAAATTATTTTAAAACATTGTTCTGGCTGGGTGCAGTGGTTCACGCCTATAATCCCAGAAGCACCAGAGGATGGCCTAATCCTGCGTGTCCGAGACCAGCCTTGGTAGCATGGTAAGCTGAAGCGGAAGGATCGCCTGAGCCTAGAATATCGAGGCTGCAGTGGCTGTGAGCATGCCACACTACACTCCATCCTGGGCAACCCAGTGAGACTCCAACTCAAAAAAACATAGTTCTGTTCTCTATATGGCTATATTTTCATTAGAGAAAAGTTTTAATGTGATCACATGAAGGTCATCTCTTAATTCACAGCCATACAAACAGACGTTTATGGACTGTTTGCTTTGTACTGGTCTCTTGTACATATTTATAGCTATTTAATCCAGCTGACAGCTCTAAGAGGCAGATTCTATTCTCCCCACCTTTTGGATGAACATCAGTGGTGCCAAAAAGTTTAAGTAACTTGCCCAAGGTCACAGGCCAAGCGAGTGGCAGAGCTGTGCTATGCACTTGAGCAGTGTGAGTCCAGAGCTGCTGACCTTCTTTGCTATGTAGGCTCTCCTCCTTGGATACATGGAAAATTCTTATCTTTGCTTTTCCTACATTCAGTTAAATTCAAAATCAAGTTCTGAGAAATGGGTAAAGCGTACTCACCAAGTGGAGTCATTGTCACTTAGAGCCAAGGGTAGATACCGAAGTCATGTTTATTTTGGCGTATCAAATTTAAATGAGACAATAAATTTAAAATGAATCATTAAATTGTATCACCCAGAGCCATTTTCTTTTTTAAAATTTTTTCCTTTTTTATTTTAAAGTTGTGGGATGCAACTCAGGATGGGGCCAAGTGTGGGCCTCGCTCTGGTCGCCGTGTTACCTGGTTGGAGATCAGGTGCCCGTGTTGAGATTGTGTGTCGTCCCCACCCCCCACCCCCCGCCCCAGCAGTGCCGCTTTCTTTGGCACTGGCCACATTTCTGCATGAAGAGTGGGTTTATCTTCCAGTTTATGGTGAACTGGTTTATCTCTACCATTTTTATTTTTTTTTATTTCCATCACCTTTATTAGCAAAATAGCTGATTCGTGCCGTTACGCTTTGTATTGTCTGAACCCTGCTGTAACACGGAAGACTAGGAAAGAAGGCTGGTTATACCTTCATATGTTCACAAATGTCAAAAATTACACAAAGCAACTGAACGGTTTTTAATTCTTGAACTAATTTATCGCCAAGATTTTTGGGTATATATTTCAGTTTGGATCTAGAAAACGGGGACTGTTAGAAAACACAACCACAACACCTTGTTGCACGTAACAGGTTTAAAAATTTTTAGCAGCAGTTTCTTTACATCAAATATCCAGTAAGTGTTCCATCGTGCATCGTCTCAAGTGTCATAAACTGATGTGTTGGGTTGGTTTGTCTGGCTCAGAATCCGAATAAATCCATGTTTGTCCCCTCAATCTTTCCCCCCATTCTTCACCTTTTGCAGTTTGTCTTTGAAATCAAGTTGTGTGTTCTGAAGCTTTTCTGATGAGATAGACGTGGCGGATGACGCCTTGTGTAGTTTCACACATTTCTTTACTTCCTGTGACTCGGTGGTCAGAACTAAAGCGTGATCAGATTCGGATTGCGGGGGATGGACAAGACTTCTTCGTAGCTGGTTTGGTTCTTTCGGGAGGCTCATACTTGGTGGTCTCTTAGTCTTAAGTTTGGAAGACGAGATCTTTTTTCCTGCTGGAATGTGTTACGTTTACTATTGCACACCCTACCACTTACATATGGGCAGGATCTTTTTTGTTTTTGTCTTTAATTTGGGGGCTCACTTTTGCCACCTGAGGCATAATCACAGCTCACCGCAGCCTTGACCTCCTGACCTCAGGTGATCCTTCTGCCTCAGCCTCCCGAGTAGCTGGGACTACAGGTGCATGCCATTAAGCCCAGCTTTTTTTTTTTTTTTATCCTTTGTAGAGATGAGGTCTCTGTTGCCTAAGCTCTTCTCAAACTCCTGGGCTCAAGCAATCCTCTCACCTTAACCTCCCAAAGTGTTAGGATTACAGGCGTGAGCCACCATGCTGGGACCACATTTTCTTCTATTTAGAGTAGATGGGACCTCAAGGTTTGTTTGCATTTTTTTTTTTTTTTGAGTTGGAGTTTCACTCTGTCGCCCAGGCTGGAGGGCAGTGGCACGCTCACAGCTACCACAGCCTCGACCTGCCGGGCGCAAGCGATCCTTCCGCCTCAGCCTTCCACATAGCTGGAACTGCAGGCGCACGCCACCGTGCCTGGCTACTTTTTTGATTTATTGTAGAGACAAGGCCTCGCCACGTTGCCCAGGCTGGTCTCGAAGCTGCAGGGTTAGGCCATCCTCTCGCCTCCGCCTCCCAACGTGCTGGGATGACAGGCTTGAGCCACCACGCCCAACCTGCACCTCGAGTCTTAGGACTCACTAAGGTGGCTCACTCAGCAAGTACGTCTGTGCTGCTGTTTCTGGGGTTGGGGGAACTCTGGGAGGCTGGCAGTCTCAACAGCATCCGCGGCTCGCTCTCGTCCCTGTTGTGAGCGCTGAGGAGAGGGGCCCTGCCCGCCTTTGTGCCGAGAGCTTTGGCTTTCGCTGCTGTGGACCCTGCTTACACGGGCTGGGTAGAGGCCAGGCCCTGTGGCTCACGTC